CTAAGGCTCAGCCACGGCTCCAGGTTTCACCATGGTCCTGGCAGAGGCTGCAGCTCTATGGGCTGAGGTAATGCACACAGTGGAGTATTTTGGGGTGGTTTATGTATGCAATGTGTGTCCATCACCCATCAGCTCTCTGCACAGGAAAGCAACAGAAGAGACATCAGGGCAGGCAATGCCATTGCTCCAGGCCACCATGGGCTGCCACGTAGGAGGTCTGAAGGCTGCTGAGCAACACCACAGCTCCTGTGCTCTGTTGTGGTCAGGCTGCCATGGAGATCATGGCTTCTATTGCTGTCAACAGGGAGCTGGAAAGCAAAGGTGTGGATCAGGGGGTAGTGGTTTCTCAATAGTATCTGCCCTTTGGTGGGGATTCATCACTACCACATTTTAAAAGACTTTCAAAGCACCTTCATTCATAATAGAGGTCAGAGAAGTCCCCAAGAAAGGTCTGGATTGCCATAATCTTGCATGTAGTGGATTCAACTTTGTGAATCTCCAAGAGAAACCTTGGTCTAATGTGCAGGAAATACAGAATTGTGAATTCCAGCAATACAAGACACAGGCCTGAGGTTTTGGAAATACATTTTATACTGAGAGCACCATTGCATGATTATGCTTCAGTCTTTGCAGAGAAAGGGTCCACATAATGCAGAAAATCCGGGCTGTAGACAGAAAATTCCCATACCAGGTTTGATTGGCTGATGGCTTGGCTTCGTGAGCGAAGATTTGGGAAGGGTTTTAACCACGCTTACTACAAGCACAATGACCAAGGGCAAGTGGGCTATCCAAATCCGGTTGGATAAAAGGTTGCTTAGGCAATCAGGAAGTGTCTGACCACAGCTGTCAACTCCTGATCTAAGTCCGCCCATATGCAGCATTGAATCTGCAGCTTCCCATGCACCCTGTCACCTACCGTTTCGACCCTTAGGCAAGTGAGAGTGAGCCCTTCCAGCCTCCTCAGTGGACTTTTTAGGTGAAGCACAGCTTGCGTAGAACTGCCCCCCCCCCTTTAAACCTGAGGTTTAACTGCCACGACCTGGCTAGCTAGGACGGTGACAGCAAAGTCCACAGGTCGTAGGTTTTGTAAGAGTGTCCTTCTCTTTGATGGAAGACCACACAAGGCTAGGCGAGCTCCATCAGCCCGGGTTTGAAGATAGGAGTTTTCCTTCTCCGATGAGGAAGGCCTGTTCTCGCTAACGAAGATTTGGAAAGACCTTTAACCACGCATTCTGAGCAAGATTGTCATCTCCTGGGTCAATCACAAGCGACCAATGATGCAATAGCACAACAAGTGTCTAGGCGGGCTCTTAGAGGCGCTGTCATAAGCCGGTAGCCTCGCGCCAGTGGCTCCTCAGACAAGCACACGCACCAGGGGTCTGAACCTGTGGTTCCTCTCGTACTGAGCAGGATTACTATTGCAACAATACACCATCAGTAGTGTAAAACTAACCTGTCTCACGATGGTCTAATCCCAGCTCATGCTCCCTATTAGTGGGTCGGCTCTTCCTATCATTGTGAAGCAGAATTCACCCATACCAGGTAGACAACAGAGGTCCTGCCCTGGAAGTCTAATATCATACTTGGTAAAGGAAAATTAAATAATGACCAGAGAAAAATACTGGGAAATAAGTTCCCCTTTCTACTCTATTTCTGTCCCTGAGAAGAATAACTCCATTTTTACCCATGCAGGGACGTGGTCTGGATGGAGAGATACTGCCAGAGCAGTGAGCACTGGCTGGGCTGTTGGGTGCAGAAGGTGATGGTTTCTACTCTGCAGGAGCATAGGGACTGCCACAGGGGTTTGTTTCCTTAATCTCTTTAAACAGAGACAAAGGAGAACACCACAGTGTGTAGGGACCATCCCACAGTACCTGAGCAAGAGAAGTAGAGCAAGGACACAGAACAATGTCAACTGCAGCCAAGACTCCAGAGCATCAGGAAAGTTGGTGATGGTGAAGCAGATACAAGGCCAAGCCAAGTCAATCCCCTGGTCAGAATCCTGTCTAGCAACTGCTAAAAAGACCCTTGAGGAAGCCTAGATCACCAACAAAGGATGATAAAGATATGCATGCCTCCTGCTAAACTGGAAGCGAGAACTCCTCTAACATAGCCCGATCTCCCTGGGCTGAGCTTAAACAGAGATGGGGGCAAATGGGAAGAGGGAACCCCAGCTGTGGCTGCTCAGGGGGATAAAGGTCTAATAGTTCATCCTGGGACAATACAGCGCTGCCTCAAAATGCCCCTTTCTCACATGTGGGGAAGCCCAGAGGCACCAGCTCAGGTGTTGGAAATCCAGGCACTATATGTGGATAATCCTCTTGGGGATGGAAAACTGGGCTCTCAAGTATCCACAGATGGACATTAGCAGCTCCAGAGATAGATTCACTTGTGCTTCATGTCCCACTTGGGGACCCTGTGCAAGATCTGAAATGTCTTTAAACCCATTCTCATTCATTTGTCAAGGTCAGATGAAATACTTTGCATGGTCCACAAGTATGTCAGAAATATCTTAGGAGCTGCTCATCACTGCTGCTGTGCAGCTGTGCTCAGGCATGGCTCACCCACTCCACGTCTCTCAGATGCCCAAGCACCACAATGCCTTTCAGAGGTGATTTCACACCCTTTGCTTTTCTTTCTCTTTGTTTTCCTGTGGTAAATCATGAGCAGCCCTGGAGGCTTCCTCCCAGGAGAGCACATGCAACTGTATTTACAGCCCCAGCACCACAAGCTGGGCTCTTGGAGTCTGCAGGAGCTCCCCTCTCTTCACATCAGGTGCTTAACAGAGCTGACGCCTGCGTGTGGATGCACTGCTGCACTGGGGATAAACCATTGGCTCCCATCACTCGGTGACAGAGGGAAGGCACAGGAGGTAAAACGAACACAAAGCAGTGGGATTGCTTCTGCGTGTTCTCCTGTCCGTTTTTTGGGAGCTATGTCAGAAAACAGCCTTACCAGTGTGGGTTCTTTTTATAAGAAGAGGGAGCAATGTCTGATGCAGGTTGTGTTTCCATAGGCAGCTAAAGCAAAATGAACTGATTTATTCAAGAGTTAAATGAGGATGAATCTTACTCTGTTATAAAGAAATGTAACATTGCAGATCATCAGCAGAACATAATCACTAACAAATCAGCCTTTGGAATCAACCTGTTATAACACCAAGTACTTTTGAAAGCAAGCAACTTAATGCCCATGGGTTTAGGATGTTTCAGCATGCTGGAGCTCGGAAACTTATAAATCATGTATTTATCCATGTGAATATTGTCTGTTGTGAATGATCTCAAATATTCTGATAAATGTGATCTGGTGACTGGAATGACAACTAGAAGCCGAGGGAAAATTTCTGGAGGTCATTCATGTGTAAGCTGGGATTTCACTGGGAATGTGATTTTTTTCTTGCTTCAGGTTTACGTTCACTCCTATGAGCTTCCTCTGAGGTGCCTTCTGACACAAATTGCCTCCAATTGTAAGGTGTTTGAAGATCTGATTCTTTTCTCAAATATAAAGAACCAACGTCTGTGAATAAATCCAGAGTTCTAATTGTCCCAGCATAGAAATCTGAAAAATGGCATTTGTTGCTTCAGTATGCTCTTTGTTCTTTTTGAAATATCTCAACATAAAACCATAAAGTCTATATAGTTTGGGTGAAAGAAATGTAGTAGAATATACTAAAATGTAGTAGTTAAAATGGTCACCGATTAGAATTAGGTATGGTCCAAATATGAATTTCCATTTTTGAATGTTTTGATGTTTCTCTTCTTTTTGCCTCAGCAGGTAACACCTGGTCATGGGAGGAAATCACACCCAGAATAAATTCATCCTGTTGGGAATTACAGACAGCCCATGTCTGCAGACCCCTCTTTTTGTCTTGTTTCTATTGATTTACATTGTCACTTTGGTGGGGAACATTGGCATTATTGTCTTGGTTCGGGTGTCTCCCAGCCTCCACACCCCCATGTACTTCTTCCTCACCCATTTTGCCTTCACTGACATCTGCTGTTCCACAGTCATCTCCCCCAGGATGCTGGCAGACCTGTTATCAGAGGACAGAACCATTTCTTTCACTGCCTGCATGATGCAGTTCCTCACCTTTGCTTTCTTTGCTACTATTGAGGGTCACCTCCTGGCCACGATGGCCTACGACCGGCATGTTGCCATCTGCCAGCCCCTGCTTTATGTGACCATCATCTCCAGCCGTGTCTGCTGGCAGCTGGTAGCATCATCCTACCTATTTGCCTTCCTCAGTGCTACCATCTGCACATGGTCCGTGTTTGGCGGTTTCTTCTGTGGTCCCAACCACATTGACCACTTCTTCTGCGACCTCGTCCCAGTGCTAAAGCTCGTGTGCTCCAACACCCACAGCAGTGAGATGGTCATCTTTGCCTTTGTCACTATCAACATCGCGGGCACAAGCATGACCATTGTGCTCTCCTACATCTCTATCATCCGCACCGTGCTGAATACGTGTTCAGCACAGAGCAGGGCCAGAGCCTTCCACACCTGCGCATCCCATTTGATGGCTGTTGCCTCCTTCTTTGGGTCAGCATTCTTCATGTACCTACAATCTCCATCTAGCTACAGGAGCCTGGATAAAGTTGCCTCTATTATCTACACTGTGATCAACCCCATGCTTAACCCCTTCATCTACAGCCTGAGGAATAAAGAGGTGAAAGGGGCTCTGGCAAAGTGCAGGAGGAGGTTGTTCTACCACTGGCAAAATAAAAGAGTTCGATCATCAAGGACATGAATAAATCAGCCTTTGGAATCAGGCTGATGAAACATCAACTCCTTTTTAAAGCAAGCATCTTAACACCCATGGGTCATGCCACCTGTTGCTTCAATGCTCTTGCTGTTCATTTCTAAATACCTCAACTGAAAAAAAAAAAAGTATACATAATTTGGGTTAGAAAATGTAGTAGAATATTCTAAAAAGTAGCAGTTACAATGGTTATTGATTGAGGTTAGATATGGTCCAAATGTGAATTTCTTTCACTGGCTGCATGATGCAGTTCCTCACCTTTGCTTTCTTTGCTACTATTGAGTGTCATCGCCTGGCCATGATGGCCTACGACCGGCACGTTGCTATCTGCCAACCCCTGCATTATGTGACCATCATCTCCAGCCGCGTCTGCTGGCAGCTGGTAGCATCGTCCTACCTATTTGCCTTCCTCAGTGCCATCATCTACACATGGTGCACGTTTGGAGGTTCCTTCTGTGGACCCAAACACATTGACCGTTTCTTCTGTGACATCATACCTGTGCTTAAACTCCTCTGCCCTAATAAATACAACAGCGAGATGGTCATCTTTGCCTTTCTCACCACCAATGTGGTCATGAGCGTGGTCATTTTGCTCTCCTACGTCTCTATCATCCGCACCGTGCTGAGGGTGTGCTCAGCACAGAGCAGGGCCAGAGCCTTCCACAGCTGTGCCTCCCATTTGACGGCTGTTGCCTTATTTTTGGGGACATCATTCTTCATGTACCTACAACCTCCTTCTAGCCACAGGAGCCTGGACAAGGTGGCCTCCATCTTCTACGCTTTGCTCACCTCCATGCTCAACCCATTCATCTACAGCCCGAGGAACAAGGAGGTGAAGGCAGCTCTGGTCAAGTGTGAGAGGAGATTGCTCAGCAGATGGCAACATAAAAGAGTTGTATCACCTAGCACACCAAGTTCATCTTAAGTGAGAGACTTTGGGACACTAAAACAATGGGATTTTCCACTGATCCTCATCATTTTATATAGGTTCATCCACAATTCCTGCACATGAGTCAATGACAGTATTGAATGAGAAATACACACCACAAATCACATCTTCCTTGGAAAGAAACTAAGAGGAAAGGAACCTCAAACTTCATTTCACTTCACAGTCACCAGCCTGTGGGAAGAGATTACCTTCAATTATACCAGGCCTCTTTTCCTCACAGGAAACACCAATCAGCTTTATTCAGTTACAGGTTTCGTCACTGATAAATATTTGTTTTCCTTGCAAGATTTGTGACCTTGTCCCTCAGCTCCAATAAAATTCCTCACTCTTACCTGTGAGTTCTTTCGGCCTGGGAACAGCACTGAGAGCACTGACATTTTTAGTTACTGCTCACATGTTTAGACTGACCAAGGACTTTGTGAGCCTCATGCTCTGCTAGGGAGGAGGGGAAGCCGGGAGGAAGCAGAGACAGGACACCTGACCCAAACTGACCAAAGAGGTATTCCATACCACAGCACGTCATGCCCAGGAGGTAACTGAGAGTTACCTGGAAGGGCTGGGACTGCGGGGTTGGACGAGGTATTGGTTGGTGCACGGTTGGGCTGGGGGGGTGGAGGAGTTATCAGTCAGTGGGTGATGAGGTTTTGTATTCTCTTCCCTTGTTATTTCCTTTATTATTATTGGTGGTGTTTTGTGTTATAGATTAGTTACTAAACCATTCTTATCTCAACCAGTGGGAGTTCCATTCTTTTGATTTTCTTCCCCATCCCTCTGAGAGCAGGGGGAGGTCAAGGGGGCGGGGGGGGGGGGGTGTGTGTGCAGTGCGTGTGTGTGTGAGAGAGAGACTGTGTGCCTGGGTTTAAACCCAGTTTTCAATGTCAATCTGTTTTCCTGCTGGAAGGCACCAGACTGTGACAGTCCAGGAGATGCACTGGAGGAGGGTAGAAAAGGATTTCTGGGTGGTTTTGAATGTCTTTCTTCCCCATTGGGTACTGGGCTAAAACCAAGGATTGAGATGTGGGAAGATCAATATAACAGAGGGAGAAATAAGCCTCAATCAATTTTGGAAACAAGAAAAATATGTAATTCAGAGATTATTGAAAAGAACTACATAAAGGCAAAAAGAGGCACTAAGAATACGTGGGTGCACTTGTGCAGGGTGAATAATGCAGCTTGAAGTTCCAGATACAGTCAGCTGGTTATTGCACTTGCTCCATCAGCTTCATCAGGGGACCCAGGCCAGCAGCACCTTGGCTGTTCAGGGGTGAGGAAGACCCCAAATCCTCTCTCCCACCAGCACTAAGGCTCTTTGTACCCCTACTTAAATTCACAGCAGAGCAGAGGCTCAGATATGACTCGTCCCCATTTAGCACAAGGGCTTTGTTGACCAACAGACTGTCAGGAATTTATTTCACAGAATCCCAGCCTGGTTTCTGTTGGAAGGGTCTTTAAAGCTCATCCAGATCCAATCCCCCTCCAATGGGCAGGGACACCTTCCGCTAGAGCAGCTTGCTCCAAGCCCTGTGTCCAACCTGGCCTTGAACACTGCCAGGGATGGGGCAGCCACAGCTTCTCTGGGCACCCTGTGCCAGCGCCTCAGCACCCTCACAGGGAAGAGCTTCTGCCTAAGAGCTCATCTCAGTCTCCCCTCTGGCAGGTTAAAGCCATTCCCCTTGGCCTGTCCCTACAGGCCCTTGTCCAAAGCTCCTCCCCAGGCTTCTTGTAGCCCCTTTAGGTACCGGAAGCTTCTCTGAGGTCTCCACACAGCTTCTCTTCTCCAGGATGAACAGACCCAATATTATCAGCCTGGCTCCGTACGGGAGGTGCTCCAGCCCCAGACCATCCTTGTTGCCTCCCCTGTACTTGCTTCAGCAGCTCTGTGACCTCCTTGTGTTGCAGACACCAGAGCTCTATCAAATCCTCTTGACCTTCCCGCAGTTCATCATTGAGAAAATGCTTATCAAGCAGGCAATGGAGACAGTGGTCAGTGCCTTATGTGAAGTCTGAGCCTCCTTTTTGTGGGCTCTACTTTCATTTAGCACAATAAAGACACAAAACACCATGGTGCTGTCTCAGGGCTGCTATTGAGGAGCTGATACCTACTTGGATGAAATATTGAATGCTCAGGCCACACTTAAAACCACCTGAGGCTCTTTGAAGAGAACCATTTGTTATGCAGGTTCTCCATACCCTGCACTTGCTTTGTGATCTCCTTAACTGTAATAATGACCAATAGGGAGCAATAATGACCAATAATGGCCAGTAATTATCAATTCCATGACCACATGTTTCTTCCTTACCTAAACAGTACTGAAGAGCTCCAAATGTGCTTTCAAACCCTGCATAGATGTGGCAGCAGCTTTCTCTCCCACAGCCTCCTCAGAGCCCCCTTCACCTCCTTGTTCCTCAGGCTGTAGATGAGGGGGTTGAGGGTTGGGGTGAGGATGCAGTAACACACCGACACCAGCTTTCCCTGATCCCATGAGGATGCCTCATGAGGCTGGATGTAGGTGAGGATCGCGGGTGCGTAGAAGATGGTGATGGCAGCCAAGTGGGAGGTGCAAGTAGAGAAGACCTTCAGCCTCCTCGTGGCCAAAGGGATCTGCAGGACGGTGTGGAGGATGTAGGTGTAGGACACCAGGATCATCAGGAGAGGGCCCATGGCATTAAACACAGCGTTGTATACCTGCAAGACCTCATTTGTGCTTGTGTCTGAGCAGGAGAGCTGCAGGAGGGTGGGCAGCTCACAGAAGAAGTGGTTGATGCTCCTGGCCTGACAGAAGGACAACCTCCCCGCCAGTGTGATGTGCACCAGGGAGGTGAGGAACCCGATGGTGTACACCAGCACCATCATGCCATAGCAACGCGCCCTGGTCATGGTA